CGGGGCTGCGCCCAGCCCGCGCGGGGTGGGGGAGCTGCGGTCCCCCCCGAAAGGTGCGGGGGCACACGCGACTCCTGCCGCCGGCGAACTGGGGGCTCTCGCTCACGGGGCGTGATGCTGGCGCCCCGGTGGTTTACAGCAGCCTGGTGCACCGCCTGTGCTGGGTCCATGGTGAGAAGGCCTTGCCCCTCGCTTGTACGCTGTTTACTGGCCGGTTTGCCCCTTGGAAATGGATGCGGCAATTCCTTTTGCCGTGCGCGAAGTGAACGAAGAGGGATAGACAGAGAAGGAACAGGGGATATGCTGAAACATGTAAGCCACATACTACAGAGCTTTGTGTCCTCCAACAACCTGATGATATAAACAAAGCCTGAGCCGAAATAGCCTGTTCCTCAGCAGATGCAAACCAGTTTCACTGAATTTGCCTTTTGTTTCTCACTCAGACTCTGATTAGTCAGGCCGTGAGTCACAGCTATTCACTCTAAGATGATAACCTTTCACCTACAACGAAACGATTTTGTGTACCAAAGTATTTTCTGTAAGACACACTAGTCATATACTTTACGTAGTATTTAACAGTGGTTTGCTCAAATTCTGTGCTTGGATAAGCAGAATTTTTCAGTACCTAAAGTACCAAGCACACTGCAGTGAGTAGAATTTTAGAGACGTTCAGTCTGGAAAGTATTTTTAGAACTTGGCCCCTTATTCTAGGGTCTAACTGACATGTGAGTTCTTTTAAAAAAAACAACAAGCAAACACCTAATTTTCACTCTTCCCGAGGAAAAAATTAGAAATCGATTCTTTGTGTCCTCTTTATTTAATGTCTTAATTCTCCTCATAGGAACCATATGACAGGAGAGAGAAAAAGTATACTGAGTATTGTAATTTGTGTCTTCTATAAAATGGTTCCTTGGTCCTTGCTCCTTAGGCTTTTGTCTTTCCTGCATTATTCTGTCACCACCTATTCTTGTTAGTTATCCTAGATCTTATTCACTAGCCAAACTGCACAATAGCTGGCTTGTCAGGAACAAGAATGTTAGCAGCAATAATGGCAAGAAGACCATAATGGAGAGTGTAAAAGTGGCTGGAATGGTTTTATACGTGTTGCTCTGAGTTGGATGACTTCCACAGAGAAAAACCTAAAATAGTGAAAGAATACAATACTATTAGTAGCTTTGCATAAAAATGCTGCAGAAGGACAACATACATTGATCAAGAGACACCCCCCCCCACACACACACATATTAATGATGTCTCTGAGCCCTCTGTACTTTCTCTTTGCAGTTAGGTGTTGTGATTTTTATTTGTTTGTATCACATCCTATTCAAGGATTCAGTCAAGAGTCAAGCTAGTGGAAGATGCAAAGCGGTAAGATGACTCAAAGGCACCGGCCCATTCTGTGTTCAAAGATTCATCTCCTAAGGTCTCCTTTACACATAAGGATAGTCAGGATAGTTGATATAAATTAATGACAAATGTGAATTTCAAGTAAGTTCAGAACACTAAATTAAAGCCTCCTTTTTCTGATAAAAATTTTCTACACATGTAGAATATAATTTAACTAAAAAGTAATGCTTTAAACGCTACAATAGACCAACTGCCCCAAGTTACAGGATCTATCTGGTAAATCCTAAAACAATATGTTTCTCTTCTACACATACATTAGAGGAAGATTTCCCCAGATAAATCCAGGGAAGGCTACAAATAAATGCATTACAAAGGTGGGGTCGCTGAGATTGACCAAGCCTGGAGTTGAAGACTTAGACAGGGAGTCACTGGTGGGGTAGTAGGAGACAGGTTGAATAAGAAGTAGGAACAGGAAATTCAGGTGTTCAGGCAAAGAAACTAGGAAGGGAGGTAGAAAGGCAACGAGGGAGACCCTGACTCAAGCTCAGCAGGGAAAAGGCATGGAAATCGGAGCCAATGTGGAAAGCCAAAAGCAGGCTTAGTAGGTAAGGAGACTAGAACTAAGGCGAAGATGGCAAAAATGAATAAGGACAAGAGCATGGTATGGATTGGTGAATGAAACTGCTCCTTTTTGAAGGGGTAGAGGAATCTGTGCCTGCCAGAGCACACTCTATTCTTCACCAGAAGGTGATGCCAGAGGTTTGCCCTTTTCTGGCAAAGTACTATGTGGCAGTTCCCTGTAGGGCTGATTCACAAAGAAAACGCCAGCTTTGCTACCATGACATATTTACTGTAAGTGTCAGAATTCTGTGTGTTTGGTTGTTAATACCTGAAAGCGTTAACATGATACTGTAAGGGGGAGTTTCAGTGGCTGGGAGGTGGACAGGGATGAAGCATTCAAGTTACTGTTCAAAAAACTAGAAAATTATGATGCATGTAATACACACAAGAAAACATTAAGATTCAAGAACTCAAAAATCAGTAATTTCTGCTTTTCCACCTTCTGTTTGGCTCTTTGGTGGTATCATCAGGACACATTCCTTAATTATTTCCATCAATCTCTTTCAACAGAAGTCTCACCTCATTGAGGGCACAAGGTGGAAACTTTTTCTGGGGATAAATTAAGGCCGTGTAATGAAGACATTGTTTTGTGTCTGGATTTGTCCCTTTTGTCACAGATGTTGGACAAAGCACATTAGGAAATCAAGCAGATTGTTGCAAAAGGAGGAAAGATGTCATACGGTTAAGATGTACATGCTTCTCCATTGAACATGTTTGCTTCTTCCAGTCTTAATGCTAACGAGTCACTTAGAATTCATGAAAAAATGGTTTGTGTTTCAATTACTGCATGAGCACCGGTACAGTTCTGCCTGACTATGTAAACTGACATATAATGGTAAATACGCAAAAAGTCATGTTGTAGGAATTGCCAGCTAAGCAGCCAAAAGGAATGTTTTTAACCTTAATCTCTCTGCCTCCCTTCCCATCTGTAAGATCTCTTATTGTCTCGTTTACCCTCTATTTACATGGGTATTATGAAAATAAATTATTTATGAAGCACTTAGCTATTCAAGAGATGAATGCTTTAGAAAATTTAATGAGCAAATTCATAGAAGGGTTTAAATAATGTGCAGCAAATAAGGATCATACATCGAATGACAGCAGACAAAATATATATCAATAACAAAATAACATGACAATCAGTTATATAGTCTCAATAAAACAGGGTTGGTATGGAAAGAAACACCACCAACCTATTATAATGAAAATAAAGACTAACAGAGTTTGTAGAATCAAAGGAACCAAATTAATGGTCCATAAGTAACCTTAATTCTGGGATTTCCTGACTCTGATAGGCTCAACTTTGCACCTTAAAGAGGTTCTTTTAGTATTTTTTGTGTATGTGACATATATTTTCATAATATGTTTTAATTTTCATAAAGCCTGTCCTTCCTCATGTTTGACAAAGAAATTATCCTGGAAAACACTGAAAATGCTTCCTTGTTAACAAAAATTCTAAATCCTTGCAGACTAAGCAGACTGCCACAGTTAACGAGATTTCCATATGCCATCCGAAATGCTAGCTTAGTGGCACAAAGCCTTGTCTGGTTCATGAATACAGCTATCTTCTGCCCCTTTTCTCAACCATGAAGTCTGGAACTGTGAGAAGTTTTCCCCAGAGCCTTACGCTTCTAGTGTCTCTTGAACAACCAAATACATAGCGCGCCACAGATACTTCCATTATCCATTTTACTCCATCTGCAGAAAATCCTTCAAGAGTTCAGGTCATATAGCTTTTATAAGGGCAGTCTTTCTACTGCCATGAAAACAAGGACACCCAGAGCTATTGAACCCCAGCTAATCCCACGTACTATGCGTCCAGAGCTCTAAAAAATAACAAGATTCAACGACTGAAAGTGTCTGCTGACATATTGTTGGTAGATATTATAGATAGGAGTAGGCAATGAGCGATGAAAGTGAAAATAAAACCAGAAAATTTCAATCCGTGGCAATGAATTCTGAATAGCAGCACACAGCCTAGCAGTTTCTGTATTTCAGGTGTTGCAAGGTTACCTTGATTTGAAACCTTCTTCTAAAGAGGCTAAACAGATTGTGGCCCTCTGTTGCACTGGTAACATGCCTCCATCTTTTCTGCTCTGGGGAAAAAAAAGTAGTCGTTATACATGTAATGGCTAATTAGCAACATCTTGCGACGTTATATGGTGGGATTATTTTTAATGTAATCATCTACACTGCAGGGAAGTTTTGAGACTTCACTCAGTGTGCACTGTCATGGTGCTGAGCACTAGAGAAACATAAAAAGAGGCAGACAGCCCTGCCCTGAAGAACTAATTGCCTAAAATAAGACTCTTTGTTTTCTGTTTTTAAAACCAAGTTCCTTCGTCAATATTGTTTCTAGCATGAGTGGCTGAGAAGGGATAAAACAGGAAAGCAGCATACAAAATACACTCAAAATGCAATAGATTTTCTAGTCTCACGGCTGGAAAATCTGGTCTCTTGGATAGTTTCCAAACTAGGAAGGAGACTGCTGCTCCCACTTTGGCGTGTATCTCATCCGTCATGAAGTTTCTCTCCCTACAGATGCTATAAGGGTTATTGGATGTCATATTAAGCATGCCCACAGTTATATACCGATGGCCTTGCATTTCAGAGAGGATGATGCTATGGGGGAAGGCAGGAGAAATTCTGTCTTTGGTAAAAAGGAGGTTTTGCTTTGTCAACCTTTCGAATATGTCTGTTGTTCAGGGCAATCAGTGTACATTTACAGTGCACCTTGCGATTCAGACCCAGATCCGTAGCTAGCTGGACAGAGTGTGCAAAATCATATTTTGAAAGTGCCATCTAGTGGCTCCATCGGTTTTTTTGTGTCGGAAAGTGAAGTTCATCTCCCCGAAATTCGGGGTCAGACCAAAGGCCATGCTGGCTTCAGAGTCAAGGTGGTCAGCGGTGAGACCTCGGTAGCTATTCGCAGCCTGCAATAAGCAGTGCAAATGCTGTAATCTCTCCCAGCTAGAAGACACGGTTGGAACAGGGAAACCTGTGCAAATGCCCCCAGGAATAGGGATGTGAATCTAGCTGCTGCACCTGGATATGAACACGGAAGTGTGTGCAGAATTATACAAATAAAAGGCACATAGAAATAACTGAGTTTTAGTTTTCTGTTGGCAGGCCCTCTATTTCTTCCAGGAAGACAACAGCCCCTAAATCCCCAACTTAAGCTGATTAGTAATAGAGATGCCTTTCTGAATTGCTATTCTTAAATACCCTAAAATTTGACTGCAGACCTCTAAGGGTCTTCAGAGACAGAGTGAAAATCACTGATGCACTTTATTTTCTTAGAAATATAGGGACAAAATAACTGGGTCAAAATGGATGTGGCAGATTTTTAGCAAACCAGTGGCAGTTCATTCGGATGCAGCACATGGCTTTGTGACTAGAAAACTGGAGAAAGGAAACCAAACTTTGTTTTCAACCAGATTTTATTGACACAAACACTTACAAAAGCTTCGTAGCTCTGTGTAGCAACTTCAGAATTAATTCATTGTTTCCCAAGAGTTGCTGAATTCTATACAGGCTCTTGGTAGCCTTATTATTGTATAGTTTAGAGTTCTTAGTTTGGCACTAGTTCCTCATAGAAATCATCACTTTGACTACTGATCCTTTCCTGCAACTGACAAAGGCGTAGTAAGCCAATATAAATCAATGTACTATTTCATCCTTTTACAGTTTCGGAAGACCACAAATCATTCTCAGAAGTTATAATTTTAATTTACTTGCCGCTAATTTAAGGCTCAAATTTTCTTCTGGATTGTTCTCTTGTGGCTGGAATAAATGGACCATTGATTCCTGGTTCCATTTATGCGTATCCATCAGAATGAGTGAAGCTCTGCAGAAAGACACAAACTCTGCGAGAAGCAGTTAGATAAGCAGAAATTTTATACTCATTTATAACTTAAAGGCAATGTATAACTGTCTTGAAACCGGTCCTGTATTATATTTTATTCAGTAGCAACTGGGTTTTTCTGCAGTTCTACTTTCTTGTGGCACTGGTAGTTGAATATATGATGAAATATATGATTCACAGAAATACCTTGTTTAGCTCCAGTTGTGCACTTAAATCTTGCCACTTCCATGTGGTTCATACAAATGTTTAGTTAAACATATGTTGATTTTTTTTTTTTCTGGATATACATCCTTTTCTGAATTGGGGTCAGAGTACTAACGATTGCGCTATACATAAAAATAGATGTTCATGTTGTTGCTATATCTGTTTTTAATAATTTAGGAGACACTCAGGCACCATGGTGTTGAGGCCTAGACATACTTCTTAACCTTCTAAGACCCAAATAAATGGTATAACATATGATAAAAATCCAAAAAGAAAGGAAAAGAACCCACAAAGAACCATCAGCACAGGAATCTTAAAGTCCTATGGAAATAATTCTGTTAATCTAGTTCAAGATTACACATTCCTGATCTTTACAGTTGAAATTAGTTACATCTGGAACATTAAGATGGAACACCAACTTTTTGGTTTTGATAGATATTTTGGTATTAAACCCAATTATGTCCCTTGAAATGAGGAATATGTGAGTGATAAGGAGCCATAAGGCTAGAGAGGAAGGCTGTTTTTTTCCTAATTCTACTGATGCATAAAATCATGCTAAAAAATTGATGTATTCCTGCCTCTCCCACGCAAATATTTGGGATATTCATTCTTTAATCAAAAGCATTATCAAATGAAAGAAACTCTTCCCAGAAAACATTTTCAAAAAGCAAAGTGTTTTTCCAGAAAGTTTGCAAAAAAAAGTCTTCACCTCACCACAGAACATTTGCAAAAGCAAACTGCAGATGCTTCCTCAAGTTCTAGTCATATGACCCTTAATTTAAAATGTGTTTCTTTTTAAAACGTGGCCTATAAACACGCTTGGGGGGAGCTCAAGACAGTCATTTAGGAAACAGAAACTTGAGACATGTGGTTGAAATATGGTGGGGAGAAAAAGAGAACGCATCACATTAATGACATTGAGAGTAATTTCAAATGCAATTTTCTCATGATTTTCTCTTCGAATGGGATCCTGGAGAGCCAGGGGACAAAGGCAACAAGGTACATGGCCAACAAGCTAATTGGCCTTGCAGTTTGTCATTTATTGTTTGTACTTAGCTTTAAGTTTGTAAAACAAACCCTTCTGAAGAAAAGCACTCAAGTGAACAACTGTCAAACCGTTCATCTGGTGTTCTGATCTTCAGGATGACCAAGGAAATGGTGCTTTTCCTGTATGTATCTCCTCCCTATAGGTGATCAGTTAGTGAACTCATGGAGTTTGTTATATTAGTTGGTGTATTTCACAAAGAGGAAAAAAAAAGTGTAACCAGTACAAAATCTTATACTGAGATATTGCAGTCTGAGTCCCTTTTAATTGTTGCATTAACTGCCAGCCTCAACAGAGGGAGGACTGAAGGGATGATAACGCAGGACACCAGATTTGAATCTCTCGTTGCTGAAGAATTTGTTGTGTTTAGGGATCTGCCACTGCCTATGCCAGTCTGAAAAGAAAGCTCTGCCGTCAGGAGCCTATGGTTTCCTGCCAGCGTACCCCACACTGAGAAATAAAGAGAAGGAAATCGGTGTGCTATAAAATAGTTGCATCTTTAGGTTTTGCACATTTCACAGGGGCTAGTCCGAGAGGAAGGGAAGTTCCACATCAAGCTGATATTTAAAACTTGCTAGCCAAAATAAGGCCCAGGCATTGCTCCTTCCTTTTCTATAGCCAAAGTGTGTTTGTGTAAGAGGCTGGTCTCTTACACGGCTCACACAGACTTGATGAATATTCATGATGAAACACAAGCCTTCTGTCTAGTCATACATGCACACACAGAGCCTTGACTGGAGCTGGCAGGACCTTTTATCACTTAGCCATGATGAGGTGTAAGGACATGTTGCTTCAGGAGGGAAAAGATTCCCTGGTGGACTGAGTGATTGGCAGGTCTCGCCAGGAGGTGTAACGTACCCTTGGGCACCACCTGCCCACTCTGCTTCCACAGGGTGGGAGAGAGACTACTGGGCAAAAATCTATGCCCTTTCCCAACTCATTGGTTCCCAAAGAGAAGGTGTCTGAGGAGCGGACTCCAATTTCCTCCATGCTGAGGCTCTTATGTCTCCTAGCCATAGCAAAGGGGAACAAGGGAAACATACTCGCTTCAGGTCCCCTGTGTAGTCATATTAGGCAGCCACAGCCTTGCCCTGGGGAACCTTAGCCCATGGATTTTCCCTCGTGATGCCACAGAGAGGCAACCTCTAACATCACGCAACACTCCACAGTGCATCATGCATTGGATTGTCATTTGAAAAACAGCAGCATTAATAATCCTGGACAAAAGTCCAAGCTTCTGTCTCTCTTATTTTCCTAGAAGGGGGATGTTTCCAGGGCTTCTATGTCAAAAATTGTTCACATCCTTTTAAAATACCACACTATGTACACATCTTTCTCCAATCACTTCCCCAAGGTCCAGGTATTAGTCCAAGTTAGGTATGCAGCTGGCTCCTTGCTTTCAGAGCTGTGCTCTGGGTCATGGCCAAGCCCCTTGCAAATAAATTGCTGGAGGTTTTCTACAGGCAGTAAAGAGAGGCTACCGTAACCATGTCTGTTACTCATCAGTTAATTTACTGGAAACCTGGAGACTTCTGCGACTGGCCAAATATTCTTTCTGGAGAGACACAACGTTCCCTAACATAAAATAATTAAAAAGGCATTACAATTTGCCAAATGATGTATCCAGATTGATAGCAGTGTAAAGAACAGTCTTTTTATCTTTTGCCATTGCAGAAGACTACAAATTCTGCCAAAAAAGTTATTAAAGTCAGTAGGTGTATATAGGAATGGCACCAATTATTTAGTCATCCTGAAGATCAGAACTCTGGATGAAATTTTGGGTACTACAGCCGCCGCCATCTTCCCTTTCCTCTTCCTCTTGTTTTGTTTACAGGAGAATGTAGAATCAATAAAAATTCAGAAGGTGAAGGTAAATTTAATAAATTGGGCGTAATGAGCTCTAAGGGATTTTCACTAAAACTTTCCGCATATATTGACAGGATAGAAGGGCACAGACCAATTGCAACAAGTATTTGGTGCGTTAAGGACTAAAAATGTACTTGGGTTAAGAATAAGAAAAGTACGTGTTTTACAGCAGATATTGGGATGGTACCTGGAAGTGATATTTCAAATCTAGTCCAGACTTGCTGCAGAGTGCTTATGGATTGCAGACTTCATAAGGAAGAGCATTCACTGAAAAAGCAAACAGGAAACCACATTTTAAAAATGATAGCTGAACATATGGAAGTTTTCACATGCATGATGTGAAGTGAGGAGTGTGTGTGTTACTAACAGGCAGTGCTATAGCTGATTCTGTATCACAACAGGCCCGTATCATAAAAGACTCCAAAGCACTATTCTAGTCTAAACTGTAGTAAAGAGCCCAGGTCTCAAGTCAGATCAGGGTTACAAGAGCTGGGGAGCCACTCTGTAATGACGTACTGATACGTGTGTGTTGACCTACAATGTTGATTATTTTGGATGTGTTTCTTTTATCTAGTAGAGGCTATGGCGAAAGAGCAAGCGGGAATATTCACAAACGGCCTGAAGCAGGCCATCTACCAGCAAACACTTTTGAGATTTCATAAAGGAAAATGCTCAAAATACTAACTTTGAAAACTTTTGCTCCTCCACCAGTTAAGAGCAAAGTTGTCTTTGCTCACACAAGCTGAGACTAGCAGCATTCAAAAGTAAAGTGGGTGTTTTTGGAATAAAAAGGACTTTCAACAGGGTCTCTCTTAAGAAGGAAAGGAATTTGGAAAAATCAAGCTAGGAGTATCTGTAGAAGGCATAAAAGTCTCCCTTGCAGAGATATGCTATTAAGTGATGTCTGCAGCTGTGGATACGCTCATGCTGGGATGTCTGAGTTGTAGGTTATCTGCCTAAGTTATTACGCAGGGGCGATAAAAGCGCTCGACCCTGAGCAGCAGGATCCTGTGCAGACTGCTCAGCCTCCTGATTACCCAAACGGCTCGTTCGGTCGGGACGCTGTCAGTGTGCAGGCATGTAGAAAACAGCAGCGCGAGTTTAACACGAGGTGGCCGGAGTCGTTTCCGTAGGGCTGCACATTTATGCTTACTGAAGCCAGTGTCCCCCATTAGTGGATATAGCAGCTACAGCCGCCGTGAGGGAACGCACGGTGCTGTCTGCTAGATTTAACAGAAGTTTTGAAAAGAAAAAACGAAACAACTGTCTCGCCTGCTGTTGGGGCGGGTTGCCAGCGCCGTGCGTGCGTGAGCCTGAGCCTCTGTGCCACTCAAGCCGTTACTGAGATGCTGTTACCAGAAGTTGTCCCTCCACGCTCTTTCATATTTAATAAGCTGTGCGAATGGATCAGTTAAATGACCAACCACGCTGTTTAAGCCAGGAGGTAACACCATTAAATTTTCTGCTCCACCTTGCACTTCCCGAGGCATGCCCTGAGGGCTG